GGCACGAAACCCAAGCCAGAATCTGTCCCGTCTGCATTGGGCATATTCGAGCATGCAAGAAACGTCTCGCCGATCTCAACACTAGTCACTAGAAGAGAAACTCGTTGTCGAAACCATCCAAGATGAAACAAAGCAGTCCTCCAAAAGAAACTTGAAGCAGGAACTCGTCAACATCAGCAGAACAAACATTGCTGAAAACAATGCAAGTCCAGCCGCGACAAACAAAGTTGCAAACCTCAAAGCGAAGGTACAAATCCCAAGGACAGACGTCAGAGGCTTAGAGGCCCGAACCTGCAATCTGCCCCTCGCCCAACTGATTAAAAGGACCTCTCTGAAAGTCTTGGCAGGCCGGGGTGCTGTGGGAGGATATTGAGAGAATCGTTCCGTGTAGGCTCCTGGATGCCGGAGCGACCGCCCTCGATGCTGGACGATGTGGAACTTCATAAACAGACACTCAGGGAATCTAGCCCTGGCCAGCATCATCGTCATCGTCATCTGCTTCATCGTCACTACCAACATTTACGTTTTCAAGAGCATGCACTCACACAATCATGCTCACATCATCGTACACCTGTGATTGCTATACTGAGTCATTGAAGCATCCAAGGTTCAGACATTAGTCGTCAACCATTACATCCGATTATATTTTGGGATGGGTCAGTACTTTGGCTGTGGGCCGTCCCAGCTGGCAAGGCAATGTTCAAGGGCGCCGCTGTTTTCTTTTATCGTTTCTCGATTGCCGCTCACATGATCAGAATCGCTGTCACTGCTTTAGTCAGGTCTATAATCGCCTCTAGGGGTAGCTCTTCCTCAAGCTGTTATTGGTTGTTGCAGTTGTCATGCTATTTCAGAATCTTTAGCTGTTAACCATACTATGTATCTTGTGGTGCTTCGCTCGCTGTAGCTGGAGATCCGAGCCCCGGGTCCTGGGACTGCTTCTTCTGCGACCAGTAGAGCTCCATGACCTGCCAACGAGAAACCGAAGTAAGCATTGTCAATTTGCCTCACAACTGTCGAGAATTATCATGTCTGGTGTCGAAGGCCTGCTCCGATCGTGTCCATCGATGCTGTCTTAGTCTAGAATTAGACTGTGCATGCAACCTGCGTATCAGTGAAGTCTTTTCGCAGCTGTGCGTGTGGATAACAAATTGAAGCTCTGATTCCTGAGCTGTCAGGTTTCCTACTATCGGATTTCAAAGTCGCTTTGAAACGCGGCAGCCTGGTCCAGGAGCTCTCCGTCAAGCGCCAGCCCAGCTGCCTCTAGAGGCAGTTGTCAGTTTTCTGCTTGTTCTTGCATCAATCCAGTCTTAGCAAGAACTAATCTGCGTCTCCAAGGTACAAGAATTGAAAGCCAGGCCCAGTAAAGGGTTCAGGGTTCATAGGGCTTAGGGTTTTTTAAACCCCTAAACCCTAAACCGTTTAGGGCTGTGCGGGGTTCGGCCTTTCAGGCCTTCAGATTCAGGGCATTGGCAGTGCTTAGAGCTTCGTGGGACTTGTTGGGGTTGAGGGCTTTAGGGTTTAGGGCTCAGGGGTCTTAGTAAGCAGGGTTGCGTGGCGGCGGCGGAGGTGGCGGTGGCAGTGGCAGTTGCGGTGGTGGCGGGGTTGTTGTTGCTGTTGTTGCTGGTGGGGGTGGTGGGTCTGCAAATTCCTTGCATCCAGATGTTTTCGCAGGGGCCAAGCAAGAGACGGGCACATCGGTTATCTAAAAGTTGCTCGTCACTCTGTCGGTGAGGTTTGTGCTTGCTACTTTGTATGCCTTTATCCTTACACATCGCGTGCGTAACCTTGGTTCGGCAGGGCCTGGGCTCTCTTCCGAAAGCATTGGGCTTAAAATCCCTAGGCCCAAGGAGCCCAGGACCCGGTTTCAGTATCCAGGCGGCCTCCATGCGAAGGAGGAAGTCGCTGCATGAGGGCAGGTCAACCACCTGTGGAATTCGATGCCGAAGCTTTGAGTGTGAGGATTCGGAGGCCCGGTCCAACCTAGATTAAACTGCAAGTCCGGCTGTCATATCTCTTGCTAACAACTGAATTCAGGCTTTAGGACTTGGTGCTTATGGCTTGGGCTTCAGGTTCAGGAGTAACGTTGAGCTTCGATACGAGCCTGCCATGTTTAACATCTTGAGCTTTCACCGCCACTTACAGTGAGCTGGGCAAACTTTCCAAGTTCTGGCACGTCATGCAAACATTTGTTGTTCAATCACTGAGTCGGGGGCCGAATCCACAGGGTCTGAAGGCAGAGTACTCATTCGATGGTCAAAGAGCACTTCTTTCGGGTGTGGTGCGGTTTCCACAGTCGGAAGCCACGATACTGGACCTGTCACAGCTTTCAAGCTTGGGCTGCCCGATCTTGAAAAAATCGCCTAATGCCTCCGGACCCATCAAAACAGACAGGCCTTGATGCAGGATCGCACCATCAGTCCGAACGTCTCCGAGAGAATCTCCACCTTGTGCTTTGCCCCTGGACCCTGCTCCCGGTCCTTTGGAGAGTCTTGCTAGGACCAACTCCCGACTCACAATACCAAGAACGGGCACTGAACCCTGACCAGTTCTGCACGAACGGCAAACAACCCTTCGGCACAACCGCATGCACACACGAGATGCACCACCCTCGCACGTTCCCTTGGCAGACTTGAGTTCGGAGCTTGAAGACCCACAGATCCCTACATAGGAAAGTGTTCCGTCTGCTGCTCGGTAATTTTCAGGATGCCTGAAGGTGTCCGCATGTGAACATCAAGCCTGAACCCGAAATACTGAAACGCTGGCTTCTCCAGCTGTTCCTTCAGCCTCGGCCTTGACTTCGAGTGATGTTGACTAGCCTGCTTGACATGATTCTCACCACCTTCGTCCCCTTCTGCAGTAGTGATCGCCGCGACCCAAACCCGGAAAGCCCCTGATCCCCTGCTCAAAAAGCGCAAGGCTGGGCTTCCCGGGCCGAAGCGGCGCTGAGCTGGTCAGAGAGGCTGCGGGCCACACCTCCCAGCACCGAGTTGGGCCTGGGCAAAAGGGAACCAAAGTCTGAAGATGCCTGGCGTGTCACCTCAGAAGCCTTCGGTCAGAAATTCCGCAAAGAGCAAAGAAAGACTTCTCTGAAGTCGAGCCGGGAGGCTTCGATCTTTGGGAGTTCTGAAGCTCCAGCTAATGAAGCTCTCGCAACTTACATGTCGGGTGCTGTAGGCCGCGGGCCTTAGTCCGAACCCATTCCCTCCACCATCCCCAGGTTCACAGAGAACTTCTGGTAAGTCGAGGGCCCAGAAGCTTCCATCTCCAACACTCCGTGGAGAACCATCTGAGCCTGGTCCCATGTGGGCCATGTGGGGGCCATTGGAGCCCCGAAGCAGGCAGACACAGGGGTGTTTCTTCATTCCGGTTGCTTCTCCCAGCTAAAGAAGCCCTAGGGCCCTAGGGCATCCTAGCATCTCCAGTCATCGTGGCCATGATCTTGAACGAGGGGGCGGTTTTCCGTTGTGCGTAGCCAATAACACATTTTACGTACATTGGGTCGGGTTGCTGCTCAGGGGCATGCTTTGCAATCTGGCATTTCGGGCTCAGTGCCTAGCTGTCCCGAACTCGACCTGCAGGATTTTGGATTTGTGCTTATACGGTCTTGGCAAAACTTAAACAAAGGCATGGGATGTTCGACTCAGGGACAACCAAAAGCGCAAGGTTGACAAGCTGAAAGTCTCAGCTGCAAGCAAGTTCTTGCCCTCTACTTGTAGGATACCAGAAGTTTTGAGAGACGTCTTTGGGGTTTGAAAGTCGTGCCGTGATCCATGGAAACGCGAGATCTTTCTGGTTGTGCCATCCAAATCGCCCCGAAACCAACATTGAAACGTCCTCCTGCCCGCGAAAGGCACAGACTCTGACAGTAGGCCTCTCGATTTGCTTGCAGAACATCCTTCCCGCTCACCTCCGCCGCCTCCCAGAGGCCCCGAGGCTTGCTGAGGCTTGCTGCCAGTCTTCCGCGATGTTTGTAGCAGTTCTATCACACCTATGCATTTTTAAAAAGCGCAAGGAAACACTGCGAACTTAGAGACTTAGAGGCTGAGACCCATTACCACAGTCAGGCACTCGGGCGTCACGATTGTAGCTTGAAGGTTCTGGGTGTGAGGCTGAGGGAGCAGGTACATACGTTTCTCTACGCTTGTGCCAAGTACGCCACGAGCAAGAAATCCACCAAAGTCGTCGAAAGCCAGCTCAGCACAAGTGGTGGATGTGCAGTTGGGGCTTAATTAGGGACTTGACTATATCGTCTAGCTAGGTGTGTAGTGCAGTCTGTAGGATGTGCACAAAACCCTGGATGGAAAGTTTGCCCTGCCCGACTTTCGGCATCGGTCGTCAAGTGATCAATGCGCGGGGTACAGCTTCTCTACCAACCAAATCTCGTCTGAACCTGTCGCAAGCCAGACTTCCCATTGTCCTCAGCAGGTGATTTTCTCGGCGGAGGGGGCGGATCTCCTCTGACGGAAACTGATGTTTATGCACAGCTGCAGAGCGACCATGGAGCATGGCTTATGCCCTGAACCTGGATTTTTAATGAGATGCTTCGAGAATGCCTCGAGCTCCGATACTTTCAGAAGGTTCTGCAAAGGATTCGGGGAGACCAAAGGCCCCATCTCGACAAAAGACATCCCAGCATCCTTCACAGATTTGGATAAGTAATGTTAAGTGTGGATGCACAGCGGCGGTTCTTTATGGACAGGTTCAACCTCAGGGAATTACTGACCTGATTTTCGTCGGCTTCAATGTGGTGAACTGTCAGTTATCAGGATGAATCAGAGGACAAGTCATGTAGGAGAAACAGGCACATCGACGCGATGAAGCTTCGGGATGCAAAGGCTAGAAGCTCGCATTTGGGCTGGAGGCTTAGGGATGCATGTCATTGAGATCACACTGTAAAGAAATCACTGACAAATGCAATCCCAATCTCTAGCCATGAACCTTCAGGAATGCTCAGCATTCTATGGAGGAGGCCAACCACGACGTTGAATCCCCTATCCGACTTAGTTCAGGCCCCTCGTGCCGCAAAACCTGTGCGGCGCGCCTGCCGGTAGGAAGACACGCTGAGGGTCTTTGCGATTGAAAGCCACGAAGTTGACGAGGCTCTCGAAATGCCTAACTTTTTGACGAGCTGGCCAAGTCAGAATCCTTCCCGAATGCTCTTCTGCTTAGTCCAGCTGCATCGTCGTCAGCATCTTCATCATGGTCATGAGGTATGAGCATAATAACTCTCAGTCTCGCTCTGAGCATCATCATCATCATCACCACCACCCTCCTCTTCCTTCTGCTCCTCCTGCTCCTTCTCCTTCACCATCATCATCATCACCATCCTCACCATCACCATCACAATCACCATCATCTTCTTCATCAGCCTCAGCCTCAGCCTCGACATCAACATCAGCCTCAACATCACCAGCAGCATCAGCATCATATCATTATCATCATCATCATCATCATCATCAGTGGGTGTAAGGCACTTTGAATACCGAAAACTGCCTAACTCCAGACAGCACCTGACCTCCGAAGCTCCGCAAGTTGAGGTAGACTTTTTTGGGTTTCGAGATCCTGAGATCCTGACACGATAAGATCTGGCGCCGTTCAAGGGTAAAGCAAAGCAGATTCAATAGCTTGCTGTAAACACATCAAAATCCATCCGCGGCTAAACTGGCGCAAACGACGCAACCCTGCGTGTCTCGAAGACATTTGAGACCGGCACATTCTCCGCAACGCATTTTTGTCCTCCTCCGGCACGATATCCTGCTGTGAGTTTACGGAAGAAGAGCTCAGAATGCAGTCTGATCAGGCTCGGTTGTGTTCCAGAGGAGGGACGTTCTTCGCTCTCCGGACTCTGCAGCTGCTGTTTCACCTCCTATTACTCAACCCCCGAATAGAAACCTTGGATGGCGAATCTTGCTGAAATCAGAGCTCAAATAGAAGCTCTAGTGACTGTAGTACTCTTCCTAAGCCCGGAGTGGCCATCTGGAACTGCTGGCGGCAACGAACGGATGGGGGAAGAGCACGGACGTTTCTGGAGAGTTAAGGATGGGACACTTCCTACACCGCCCAACAGGGTGTTCTGGGATGCACAAGGACGCCGCGCCTTGTCTGCCGAGGATTTTCTGGAGGAGACCTCCTGCGTCTTGGCCGGCCTCGGAAGCTCCCAGCACTTGCTCGCTAGCTGAACCCGCCGAAACCCGGCAATTGAGAGCCTCGGACACCGAACTGGAGGCTGAAACACTCGGATGAGAAGTTTTGGGTTAGGCTGTGGGAAAACTGCTTCTTTTGTTTCGATGATTAGGGACGGAGCCGAGCACACCGAGGGCTCACCAGGACTTCCAGCGGAGGAGTGAACAACAACAGAAAGTAGGAAGGTCTGAGTGATCAAGTCTTAGTGGCTCCAAGTGGATGAAAGATCTCGGACTAGAGGAACAGTAACTACTCTGTTGGCGCTCTGATATCGAATACCAGCAAGTAAGCAGTCGACAGCTTACATCGAACATCGGGACAACGCCCAGTTGCGAACATTCTCGACCCTAGCCGTAGATGCAGCTGCTTGGGGTTTGGGTTCAGCGCAACTTCTCCTGCTGTCGAACTGCAGCCACCGTCTGAGATAGATTAAACTGCTACGACAAAACTCTTGAGATCCACAGCGTCAACACCTACACAACAACCGAGGACCCAAACATGCCACCTTTTGTTCCTCGCCGGACATGTCAAGCAATAAGCGATGTTTTGGCGAACATCACATGACATCAATGCCAGCTGCCATCGAGCAATTACCTGAACTACCTGTAAGCACCAGGCCTAGAGGTCATTTTTGTAAATTTTGTTGGTTTCCGCAGCTTTGCGCCCTTTTGTGGAGTGCTTCGTGCCAAGCCCCACCAGGTTTCGAGGAGCTAGGCGAAGCTGCTCTGAAGTAGCTCTCGTGCATGAACAGGGATACTTCAGGGTTAAGCCGGCTACGACTTTAGCCCTGAGCTGACAGATTCATGCTTTCATTAGTATTTCGTAGGCCCTCAGATCAGATCGGGATGCTCTTGAAGAAGATACCCTTGATGGCACAGAGAAGAACCTGAGTCAGTCAGTGGCTGTTCGACTCAGTCTGGGGCTGTCAAACTTGTGAGATTGGACTCAGGACGCGCATGTTGCGATCCCCCTTGAAAAAGGCTGCAACCACTTCCAAATTGAAGTACTTACAAGCACCGTGCCAATCCAAAAGCAGGCCGTGCATTGTTGGAGTGACGAAGTACGACTTGCACCTGTTGAACAATCGTGCAACAGGCAACCAAGCGACAAAAACCCTCACGCCTCTGAAGCTCCTACACTTCGAAGCGATGCGAGGTAAGTGGCCAGGCCCTCTGTCCACTTCTCGCCGATCATGGAAGGCAGGAAGCCAGCACCACGAGCCGTGAGTGACTCGATGTATAGGCGCCTTACGATCTTTTATGCATGATTTCTGGAGAATTTGGCTGTCCATGTTTTGTCGTGGGCGAGAAGCTTGAGGGTTTCCGGACCTAGGCCTGCGGCTTGTGCGCTTGAAGCTTCGGCTTTGCATGCCTTGAAGACCGAGGTGCGCAAATGTAATCCTGCCATAAGCTGTCAAAAGCAGTGGCAACAGGACGATCGGTCCGAAGACGCTGGCAGCCAGCATAGTGCACATCAGGTACATGGGCAAGGATTCCTCGGTTTTGGATAAGGTAGAGGGGCTCGGCCAAAGCCAGGACAAGTGTCGAAGAAACGGTTGGTAAACAGTCAGGCTGTAGGGGTTGAGATGTCAGTTTAAGATCAAAATAGTTCCAGAAAGAACTATAAGGGATGCGCGACTGGTCTCTCAGCTCGAGCTTACCCCGCCTGTGGTAAAACATGACAGCTCGCCGAATTCGCACTGGGAATCTCAAGCCGTTGACCAATGGTTTTCGCCAGGGTCGGTTCTGCGAGAGGAGTTCGAGGACAGCAACTCCGACGCGTGCTGCATCACGACCACACAGTGTAAAAATCCAAAGTTGGCACTGCTATGCCTTAGCCCAAGCCCTGAAGCTCCAATGGCATGTTGTTGCACTGCGCTTGAATTGGTGACCCTCTATAATACGTATTCTTCCGCTGCTCATTCAGGATTTGGCAACTTTTGGGGACGTCCTCTATAATTTGCCACAAATCGCCCGGATCTGCCAACGGTCAATTATTTGCTGAATAGTGGATGAAGCATTTTCATGGGCCTGAAGCTGGATCTTGAAACCATTTGTGGCCTTTACGAAGGACTTGGAAGGGATTTGCAGCCCTTTCAAGGAATTTTAATGGGCCTTAGGAGGGCTCAGGCTCGGGTTGTACATGGTATTTGTCTACAGTTTGGCTTCTCTGGGTGAAGAGCCTTAAGATTTTGGTGGCTTTCCAAGGGGTGCAGGAGGGCTCAAGCTCTTACGGGTTTAAGAGGGAGCAGGCTCGGACTCTAGGCGAATAAATTCGCTCCTTTCGATATCTTTCTTCATGTCGTTCATCTCTTCTTTAAAGCCACAAGTGTGGCTCCTTGTCGCTTTCTTTTCGTGAAATCATGCTTGCACTTCGTTTCATGGTGTTAAATTAATCGACATGAAACAAAAAAGCCGCTTCGCTCCGCTTTAAACTGTGTTGCAGCTGAAACATCTTTCTGACCTGCCACTTAGACAGGAGGTGCGCCAGAGTTTCGGCACTTCGTTGCTGTCTGGTCCGCCATCGTTTCTGGCTCTACGGCCGGTCGGCGGAAAATTCGGCAACAAGAACGACTGATTCAGTAACCAGAACGGCTGATTCAGAAACCAGCCATGATTCAGACCCCAGCCGTGACTCAGAAACCAGCCGTGATTCAGAAACTGGAACAGCTGATTCGGCAACTGGAACGGCTGATTCGGAAACTCAATGGACCGATTCGGAAACTACACCTGGGTTCAGAAACCAGAACGACATGGATGCCCTGGTCCCAAATCGCACTAGACCACATAAGGTTTTGGACATGGATGCTCTGTTCCCAAATCGCCCTAGACCATGGGCGTCATTAGGTTTTGCACATGGATGCTCTCGTCCCAAATCGCCCTAGGCCGTGGACGTCATTAGGTAAACCGCTGGGCCAGTTTCTGAATCGCGGCAGTTGCTGAAGCGCAGTTTCTGAAGCGCAGTTGCTGAATCAAGCGCCAGTTTCTGAATCATGTACTGATCCTCTACGGCCCTAGGATCATTCCTGACCTTTGGACCTCGCCACAGCACAACCTGAAGTCACCTTGCGTCCACCACGAACAAGAGCTGCTTCGCACGTGCAGATGGCAATCAACATAAACATAGCATGACATTGCTGTTCCTGGTTTTGTTCGATCACCTGCGTTTTTTCAAATAACACATTCACGCGTACGCTTCTTTTTTGCATGTACTTAACGAAGAAGGGTTACTGGTACTAGTAGTAATGGTCACTCACGGCCCCACTCTGTGTCACTGCAGAAAATCAAACATCCAGGCGTTTTGTGAAAAGGACACCAAAGAAACAAACAAGCAACATCAGAACCAAAATCTAGTTCACCTAGCAAGACCCAGGGGTTTTTCTCCGACCTCTCAACTTGGGGAAACGGCACTAAACACAGTGCAACATTAGCCGTCATCCGTGCAAGACTCTCATGCCCAAGAAACTTAGCCTTGCATCTTCAATTGTTTGAGGCCGTAGGCGCTGAGCTACCATGACACCGAGAGGCATCTGTGTTGTACATCGACCGCTGCGCACGGTTGAAACGTCCAACTGCCCCTGGAGATGTCAAGGGCTCAGTCGCCGCTTTGGGGCAGGGATTGACAGTCTCGTCTAAAGTCTTGTAAGTACATGTCGCCGTACCCAGACATGCATGAGACGCGGCCTGTGTTCGCCATGAGAACGTAAGGTGCGTCCTGCCACACGTGTCAGCTCCGTGCCTGCTTCCAGCTCGCACTCTTCGAATGATGTGCAAAGCCTTTAATCCCTCGCTCCAATCGAGGTTTTGCATCAGGCAGTCAACAGCCATCGGCAACAACATCTGAACAAGTTGATCTCGCAAACTTACATCCGCATTTCAGGTCGGGTCCACAATCGACGAGTCTCAACAGCTCCGCATGCTGCCAAAATCCGAACTCTGAACCCTGGACCACGGAGCCAGCTTCAAAGTAGCACTTCGAAAAAGTCATCCCACGAATAAGCTTCAAGACCTTCACAAACCACGAGAAAAGGAGCATGTGGCTCCAAGGCGCCGAAGAAGCTGAACGAAAATCCTTCGAACCTATTGGGGCCATCTTGACACTTGGAATTTGGAATCCACGAACACTGCCGCGTAAAGCTACGAAAGTGGATTCATGAAGCAAACATATTCGAACCGTGGCAGATTCACCGGATCCAATACAAGCGTCCTGAATCCGAAATACAAGGCCCAGCCCAAGACCCGTTTGGAACTCAGGTCCTTCAAAGGGCCCGAGTTGGCCATGATCTTGTAGACGTGCTGGTCCGGCCGATTCACCCGCGCAGGGGCCCTGGCCTTGGTCGGGTTCGGAAAGTGTGCAGATCGGACTTCGAGTCAACGAGCTCAGCTCAGCGGTACAAGCAGGTTGCAATTTTAACTACATAGACCGTCTGCGAACGAATCAGCAAGATGGGCAGTGGCATAAGTATACACACGGAGGTTTGATGCCAAGCTGCGCCATTGGCCAGGATAGTGATAGTAGTTCGGGTCATCCCAACCAGCCAAACAGCAAGAAACCTCCAGGCCGAGCGAGTGCTTGGGCTCGGCACATGGCCTAGAAAACCTCATACAGAAGCGCTGAAGCTGGGTCTATGAGGACTTGGCCCTAGGCCAGCGGGGCAACTCCAAACATGTGAGCTTCTTTCCAGGCCAGGAACACGTATCCAAGCTGATACTCGTAGATGAAGTGAAACTTGGCATCGTACATGTCCTGCCAGCTCGCCCAAACACAACATCTCTGGCATGAACTCCGGCTGCAGACAGTTAATCCAGCGCCCTAAAACCGCCTGGACATATGGTAATTTGTGTCCTGCTGCCCTAGGTATCGCCCGGCAACGAAGTAAGTAGGCCAGGCCAGAATCTGGCTAAGGATCGGGACATAAACAAGCAATAAGCCAACATACCTTGGCTGCTCGCGAGAAACAACATGATCCGATGCACTTGAGCTAGACTGCTAGACGAGTTCAAGCTCCTTCACCTGCAGTCGGACGATCTGCGGGCATTTCGGCATCGAGTTTGAGTACCTAGAAAACCCCAAGGTAATCCGACAATTGCTAGACTTCAGGCTGAAACCCTGCATAAATGAAATCTCGTGGGCTTCTTCATCTCTGCCGCCGCTTTCGGTGTGCTGTCGGACAACGGCTTGAGGCCCATCTCGTCGCGATCGGCAAACCTGCTGCTGAGGACTGCAGCCGGGTTTAACATGCTTGTGATTCGGGGATTCGGGATGATGCTTTGTGTGTGTGTGTAGTTCCTCCGGCGGACAAGTTTTGTTTGGGTGGATGACCATGCGAGCCTAGCATATATGCTCAAACAACGCCTTGCCTGAACCGATGCCACATGGGAGGCTGCTTCTCGGTTTAGTGATGCTTTCTCTTACAGGCCTCGAAGACCTCGAGAAGTTCAACATTGGGTTCATTTGTGTAAAGGCTCCTAAAGACGCTGTCCAGAATGGCCGGTCTCAAGCCTTTGCATCTTGGTGTAAGATTCATGCCTGGATGCTTGCGAAAACAAGGGACTTAGCCTGTGGTTGGCAACACTAAGCAACCCGACATTCCTCAATGAGGCAACCCCCACCCGATGAGGCCTTCTTCATCTCAAGAAATTGATTGATCTACGTCCGTGTACTAGCGCATGCATCGGAATTTTCCCGCTCAAGATCTGGAGACTCGTTTGCCCTTTACGAATTTCTGCATGGTTTGTCTCTTATCTAATGGAGATGTCCATACGAAAGCTGCCGGATGCGCAAATCCCAGGCTCAGAAGTCCCCCTTTGCTTGGCCGTCCCATCGTGGCTCACACCAGAAGTTGAAACAGTTCGTCGGGCAGCCTTTGTCAAAGGAGTTTGTCTCTGGGAGTGGACGAATTCTCCGTTGTCCAATAGCTCGTTGTAATCGTCCGAGTCTGGCAGACTCTCGACGTGGATGTTGTTCCCCTTGGAAGTCTCGCGTGCCACATCATGCTTGTTCTGCTTCCATTCCTGCGCTGTCTCGACTGTCTCGTTCCTCGAGATAAGCCCCACAAGGATGATGAAGATTTCCCCTTCCAAGAACAACGAAACCAAGGAATATATCCAATGCAACACAAGGATGACATCTGTCACGATCTGGACCCCGGGCCTTTTGTAGGCCAAGACAGAATGGGCAGGGTCCATGAGAAACCCCAGAACCACACTCAGTGTCAAGCCAATTAGCATCGCCATAAACTCGTGGTGATTCATCAGGCTAACCACGTTCTGGAGCCACCTGCAGTAGAGGTCATAGCGTCGAATGGGCTCCAGGACTTGTGGGTATGCTTCGGGGGCTCGCCGTCCGCAATGGTTATCTGACCAGGGTCAGCCCTGGACACCCACAGCATGCAAAGCTAGGTGGGGCCATAGATAGCGAGGACAATCGCAACGAAAACGCTCCAGGGCCATGCGGTCAGCTCGGTCAACATAGGAACGTGCACCAGAGTCACTGTCACTCCGCCCGAAATCGTCGAGACACTCAGCGCCAAGGGCAATAGAGGCTTCCAGCGCACAGACTCTGTGGGTCCTTTGTTCTCGTCCCCGAACTTGCGCTTGTCTCAGGCTTCTTCAGGATCGTGACATGCTTGTTTGTCTGCCGATTTCTTATCGCCTGGGCCTGACACAAGGGGCACTTTGGGAATCATCTGCTGCACAATTCGGATCTGGATTCCGACCAAGCTTCGCACGGTCTGCTAGTGTTGCACCAAATTGGGATCAGCAGCACCATAAGCATCGAGACGAGAGCGACCCTGAGGCAGCATGGCGTCGGACCCGATGGACGGGCGGGATACCAAGAAGCTTGAGGAATTCGGAACGGCTTTTGTCGTGCGTGCGGATCTGGCATTTTGATGCTCTTTGGATCTTCGCTGGCAGAATTAGTCGAGCAGGAGCGGAAGCAGCAGTAGCACTAGCAGTACACTAGCAGTAGCAGTAGCGGTAGCGGTAGCGGCAGCAGCAGCAGCAGCAGCAGCAGCAGCAGCAGGAGCAGGAGCAGGAGCAGCGGTTGTAGTCTAGTAGCGGGGTAGTAGTAGTAGCACCACAAATAGAAGCAATAGTGGCAACAGCAGCAATTGCGGGGCCACGGCCACGCCGGTGGTGTTGGTCGCAGGAGGACTGGGGGTACTAGGTCGAGGCACCTCCCTGTAAAGATGTCCCCGGCCAGAACGCAACTTTTGAGAAACTTGAGCCCCGAAGTTGGAAGCAGGTGCTTAGCATAAAACTGTTCCCAAAAGAAGAGCAAACTCAGCCCACAGAAAGTCCGAGAAGCTCATCTTCGACCAAGGGTTCCGCCGACATCAGCGCCAAAACACAACGCTACGAAACCGACAGAAATTGCTCTTTGGTGTCTTACATAACTTGAGCCGGCAAAGTTTGTGCAGAGAACGTGTCTCGGACCTGTCCCACAGGACAGCCGATATGGCAAGGTCATGAAGGTGTTGCTTAGATGTTGCTTCAACCATCTAATCATGCTCGTGTTGGGTTTTGAATGCACGGTTTGGCTGCAAGTTTAGCCTGGGGCTTTGGTTCAAGATCTCGAGGCTTGACGCATGAGGTCTGAACCTGAAGCCAGTCCTTATAGTCGAGGCAGTCAGACCTTGCGCATAAGATTTGGATTCCCTCTCAAGCTCAATTTTAAATTCCGGCTGCCCATTCTTTGAACTGCTCGAACCTAGGGTTTAAAGATGTCTTCGAGGTCTTAGGTCTCAAAGGCCGAAATTCCACTCTCCTACATGGACACAGCCCAAGCTCCCTTCACACCTGAGTCTTGGACCTCCCTCCAGCCAGATCCTCAGGGAAAGGAATTGACGGGATGATGGGAGGCTCTCCTCAAGGTCCGTGGCTGACAAGACAAAAGACAAATCAAACCAACGAGCGGAAATGTACTGTGTCACTATTTCAGCATGGTATCAGTATCGCTTCAGGAGGTGGCCAAGCGAGGCAGCATCCCCAGCCGTCTGACAGACCACCCATAAGCCAAGCAGCATCCGACACGGGCTGCTTCTCGAAATCCGCCTTCTCTCCTCTTTCTCCCGATCGCTCCTGGAGGTTTTGGACGAGTGACGGGCCGTATGGATTCAGGGTTGCTCGGCTTCCGGGCTTGGGGTTCTTCAGGAATTAGGCTTCTTGTTGTGTTTTGAAGATTTTGAAGACTTACAAGCCCCGATTTTCCTCAATGGAAGTCAACCATCGCATGGATCGTGGAATGCACCGCAAACAACAACAACAACTACATGGGCCGTAGACCACCATATCCATGCCACGCCGCACAGCGGCAGCGTAGGGTCTAAGCACATCCGTTGTCGATTCGCTCATCTAGTCCTAGCGCACCCTAGTGACATCTTATGTTGGTGCGGAAGCCGCAAGATCTGCTGGCTCCCCGTTTCCTCGATGTGCAAGGCTGGAAGTGCAGTTACCCCGGCTTCCAATCCAGGGGAAGGCACTTGCGAGCGCACAAAGTCCGACAACAACCTCAGATTGCCGGGCCTCATTCGGCCCACGCTTAGCGCTAAATACCATGCTCCTTCATTGACTGACCTCTGACACCCGACTCCAGCTGCACAGCCCGTCATCGAGCTTTGGGATGCCGGGGCATTCGATAGAACATCGCGAGGGATCAGATGATGTGGCAAACCGACAGTCGCAGCTGTTTCGGGACACTGCACCTCGAATTAGCCGCCTGACAAAGTGGTTTCCAAGAAGCCTCCGTCTGAATTGGAATCCAGTAGCTTGTCGGCGCAGCACGGCTAAGTCCGATATCTGGCAAAGTTTGCCTAGCTCTGGCAGACGCCTCGTCAACGATTCGGGCAAACATCTGAACCACATGCTCTGGCATGGAACCATATGTTTTCGCACTGTACTGCACAGCATAGCAGATTTCAGAAGCTACAGCTAGAACATAAGAATGGACTACGTCGTGACTACGCAGTCGCATCCGGAACACTGTGTTTTCAACTTGCTGAAGCCATAAGACAGCGACTGTAGAAGGTCATGTCTACACGCCCGAAAGTCGCCCAAGCCTGTTGAATCCAAGGCACTCAAAAATCAATCAAGCTCGAAGGAGCTGCTTGTAAATAACCCTGTTCCGTGACACATGGGCGCAGTCCTTTTCAGAAGCCTTGTCACGGCCTTCGCGAGCCTTGGGCTTTGTCTGGGAGCACATGAGTTATAAGCAGCTGATCCCGGGAAATGAGAGTTGGCGGTTCAGAAGGAAACCAGACTTGGCTTCACGGCGCTAGAGTAAGGCCCCGGTATACTAAGTGCTCGCAAACCCGAGATATGTCATTCCTTGTTTTATGCAACCTGGACACAACATCCGCTGGAACATCCCCCTCAGGTCATGTTGTTTAGAGTTTAGAGTGGTTTTTATAGTTGTCCATGATCTGCTATTCAACATCAGCGTTAGCTACATGGTGCCGGGAACCCGCCAGCAAATGCAAATCGTGAAGAGAGCTTTGGCGGCAAATCCCGCAGGAGCAAGGGGTTGCAGGGGCAACGAGGCAGCATTGAGCAGTGTCAGCCCATGTATCTCGTTCAAACTGTCGAAGTCTCTTCCAAGTGGGGACGGCTCTTCACCGACATCTTGGGGCATCCACGATGCTTCACAGCATCGAGGACAAAGCAAGGACCAAGACAACCGCCGAGGCACGAACACGGCCATGTTGAAAAGAGCTAGCATGATAACCCATTCCACAATTAGGTCGACAGTGCAGGTTTCTAGACATGGAACCACTTTCGCTGCATTGGGTCCACGATGGGGATGGGCTGTACTGTCGCCTGTGTGCATGGGGCGGGGAGGTCGCTGAGTTCGCAGCTCACGAAATCTACATTGCGGTACGGCGACTCGTGTCTCTAAAACTAGGGTTCTTACGAAGTGACTCCCAACCCTGATCTCAAAACAAAGGGCCATGGGTCAGGAGAAGAATGCAACCCAAGTAAGCAGGATTAGCTGGGTTGCTGTGATTGGTTCATGCGCTTATGAGCAAGGCTTTTGAATCCGAACATGTTGGGTCTTGATTCGAATCCAATCACTGAGATGCCTCAGGATGCTCCATGCTCAGATGCGTTCTAGAAGTTGGGGCTATTCAAGGTTTGGGCTTGTAGGGCCAACTTCTTGTCGAGAGCTTGTTCAGGCGTTGATTACCGGAGCTTAAGCCTGAGGGAGACAGCCTGTGTTAGTGGGTCTGCACCTGCTCGTGTTGTATCCAACAGTCTCAGGATCCGAAGCAACAAACTGCATACGTCCCAAAGCTACCGCAGCACCCACAACAGCTCCAATGAACACCGAAATGCCCGAAGCTCCAACTGCAAAGACCAAAAACGTTGACCCCAAATTCCCAAATGATGCAACATGGAACACTAAACCCGGAAAGCGGTCACCAGAGCGCGCGGCTTTCGGTCGCGGAGGCTCCGGCTTCTGCGAACAGTGGATTTGTGGGCTTTGAAGTAAGCCGTAGGATTCTGGCTAAATGAACCGGCTGGGAACCCTGGTGTATGTGGCTAGCCTGGTCGCCCAAAGCTCGTGATTTCCGCACCGGCCCGCGCTGCCAAAAAACAGGGGGCTGGTTAAGCTGTAGTATCATGGCCTCCCGGCGACCCCATTAGCAATTCCAAGTTGCGGGTTAACGATTGTCCAGTTGCTAAGCCATTTTGTCCTCTTCGGGCAGCCAAGCAAGCCTTCCAATCCGTAAAATAAATTGGCAGCCGGGAGCAGGTTTAGCCTTTGGCTCACACGGGCTCGGCTTGTAGCCTGTGTTTGGTGCCAGCCTACAAGGAGCTTAGCACTCCGTGTGTTGGCAACAATGTCTGACACCCAGACCCAAATCCTACGCTAATTAACTTCAACAAATATTCACCCCCTCTTCGTTAGAACCTTGATTCGTTAGACTTGCTCAGGCTTTTCATCTGCGGATGGGAATGCCTGAAAAAGCGACGGCGCCGTCTCCGCTGTCGCAAGATTGAGATTGCTGAAAGCTGGAGGTCTCTCACCTGGGCGGCTCAGCTAGCGAGCTTCTCACGGCACCTAGGGTTTCTCGGGCTTCGGGCTCCGAGGAGATATAAAATCAAGGCTGGCTGGCACATCCGAGATTCAGGCATGCTGGCGTTGAACGTGAAGGTGCGAATCCAGGTTAACGCGATTAGTCCCCATGGGTCATGCGAGCAATACGGGCGAAGTGCGAACAAACGGAATTTAAAACACTCATACATAAAGGGGCTGAAAAATGTGTGTCACGCGCAAGTTCTACTTGTCCAGTAGCTAACCCTCCACCTACCTATCTGTGTGCCTGTCTCGCATGTGTCTGGATTGTTTTCAGCCACTGTTGTGCAAGTTGATGGAATCATATGCCTTGTTGACATGTGTGATAATCCCCATCTCCTTATGAACAGCTGTAGCATGTTTGGATTCAGAGATGTGTAAAATTTGCAATTCTTGGAAGGAGCTCACGGTGCAGCAATGTGGTTGCAGGCTCAGGTTTCCATCAACCAATAGTGCTCTTAAACGACCTCCAATGTACCTAACCTAAATCCACCACAAGCAGTATGGACGCGTGAAAACCATGGCAACGGCGCCTGTAAACGTGGATGCACTCACGAATTTTTTATCCGAACCTATGGTTTGACAGACACACGATGTATATTTGCGAGTAGCTACTCGCACTTCTTTTGCAGTTTTCGTGGTAAGTGCTACGGATGATGATGCCGACAGCCGCTGGTCACAGGAATGTTGGTGCTTGTGACTGCTTGTGTTGATCTTGAAGATGCTGATGACGTTGCTGCGATGATGATGCTGCTGATGTTGATGCTGACGACAAGGAACAGTATTACGATGACGATGCCGGCAGACACTATACGCACACCATCCATCACCTTTAAATACGAAGTCTGGATTGATTGTGCATCCTCATCAACATCGAACCGTCACTGTGTCAGACCCATCATTCAGCGTCGCAGGGTCGAGTCTCGCTAAATATCAGCTTAAGCAATGCTGCAGCCTAAGGTGGCAACATCCTTGTGTGACCTTCCAGTGCCGGAGCATCTCATCTCGGCCTCTGGATGGGCTGTAGGGCAGCATTCGTTTTGGTGCTGGGAGAGGAGTAGCTGATCCAGTGCCGAGTTAAGACCTCATGCTGGATCGAATGTCAATAGGCATGGCAAAAGTACTTGCGATCCCTGACAGCTCAACACAAGCACACGGGCCAAGCTCTTCGCCCACACTTACAACGACGGTCGGCTAACATCCCAAGTTCCCTGAACCATCAGCCTGCAAGCTGAAGCTGCGGTTTTCAAGCATGAAGCTCCAAAATCCACCCGGCAAAGCTTCCGAACCAAGGGCGCGGGCTGTAGTGAGGACCCCATGAGGAGAGCCACGCATCGATCTGATGAGTGCAGGCTGATTCCGAATCTTCAGGGTGTCTGCCGACACACCCGCCCTTTTGTATGTGTGCGTATATACACATATTATACATATATACAGACATATATATATATATATACTTACCCCCCCGGTGCCAGACCATCGCAGGGAAAATATAGACGTGCCTACATTAAAAGATTAAAAGACGCTTAAGGGTACTGTAATTGGGTTGACAATTTCAATTTATATCTCGAGCCTATCGTTGTGTCAATAGTTTATTCAACCTTGGCTCGTTTAAGACCCGCAGCTTTGTACAAGCATGAGAATCGCACTTGAGCTCAATGGAGATTTGAACTATCCAATATGCGATGGTCATCATTCACTAGGTGCAGCTTCTTATTTACAGCGCCTTCCGACGAAAGACAACTCCTTGTTCGACCAACGAAGGAAAGACTTGACTTACTGTAACTGGTGCACATACTTAAGATGAGTCAGAGTAAACATGCAAAAGGCTTTTGGGTATAGGGACAAGATATCAAGAACCAACCTATCGGAGTACAAAGTTTAACAAGCAGCCACACTTTGATTTTTTGATTTTCAACAATATCCAGCCTAAGCTGCAATGTGCTACCGGATTAGCCCATCATTCTATTAAAGCACAGGTGTGAATATTCAAGGACTAGGACTTTAGTTACATATTTATCAACATGTAAATAAACAGAGGATTCAACAACAGATACATGTACCTGATGATGTTTGGTTTTGGGGGTTGGCCTGGAACAGTGCGAATACCAAATGTTGAACAGTGCACCGAGTACCCAAAGCCAATCGCAAAGGAGCTTTACCCAGCAAAATGTGTTTAAAAGTTAGGAACTAATAAGACATGAGGACGTACAGGATGTTCACTGGGTTAGTACTACTGGAAGAAGCAGAAGAGTAACTGCAACCACCATAACAGGGACATTGATAATGGTCATGGTAATTATAGCATGGGCGAACGTAACTGAACTGCTTACACTTGATCCGATAATTTATGCATGGAAGCATGAAGTAATAATTTAGGTATGACCGAGAATGGAACTGGGGATTGGATAGTCTTGCAGGTGCATGTAGATTACCATCCTAATACAAATCGACGAAATCTACAGTCATAATAGTGGGTCACGACTTGCTACGAATAGCTGCTATTTCAGAAATCTACTGTTAGTATCACGAATATATACATTTGAAATTCTAGTATAGTGGTTTTAAGGCTACATGTCTAGCCTTAAGTTGTCCCAGTTTGCAGCCTCGAGGCATGCGTCTCCTAAAAGCCGCGGCAGATTCCAGACTCAGGTCTTTGGAAAGACTTAAACTTCGAATACAAAGACCCAGACTGAAGTCCAATGGATCTTCACATACTCCGAAGCACGCAAAGCCCATGGCAACCAGTCCCCAAACGTTGAGATCACCGTGTCGGCACTGGACCGAATGACAACGCGCAAAGCAGCCCCAGCAAAACTCTGTTAAGCCCCAGGGCACCTTGGGGCCGAAAGTGATAAAGAACACCACGATTGGCCTGGGCTGGTGCATTTTGGGAAGTGTGCCTCCGCCTAGGATGCGAGATGCCCTCTGAACTCCCTCACTGCCCTAGTTGAAGCTTTCTGCGACTTCCAGCGACGAACCTCACAGAGCCATGATAACGTTTCCGAGACCACCTTCGAAAACAGAGGACACCGTTTGTTCGACAAATGCTGTCGAGCCTGGATGCCTTTAGCAAGCTGCAACACAAAACAACGCCGCGGACAGCGTTTGAGGATCTTAAAGAAGGAGCACAAAGAGGCGCTTTAGTTAAAACCTTGCGACGAGAATTCGGTTTTTCCGGAGACCTGGAAAAATACAATCAACGGTAGCACGCGAAGTCAAGCCCATGCCGAATGCAGCTGAAGGAACCACGAAGACCTCAGGTCTACTATCGTGCGAGCATGATGTCTGGGATCCTGATGCCGGTCATGGCAAGGTGGCTTTCCGGCTCTAAGAAGCTGCAGAGTACTATGGCCAGCAAGCCCAGGCGAAGAGAGACAGCGAAGTGCATAAGCTGAGAGCAACGTGGCCTCGAAGTCTGTGCCCCGAAGCCCCGCAAGCAATCGACCCCAAACCTGCACCTCCAAGAGGACGACACCCTGGACCCTAGCTGCAGGCTCTCAGATTTCTGGTTGGGGGCTTGGCCGTTGTGGCTCGGGGAAGCCTTTAATCTCCGACTCCAAGTCTACAGAGACCGAGCGACATTGAGCAGTGCTACGACCCAGCATTAGCAACTGATGCTGATGGCGGAGGAAAAGATTAGGCGTGGATGCTTCAGCCGAGGGCCTGGGGCCAAGAAACTGACACGAGTACTAGTGCTAATACGAAAGCTACACTACTACCGCTTCGTCCTGGCTAGCCTTCGTTGGGCGGACATTACCATAGTTTAGGCGAAGCTGTGGCGAGTAGTATTCAGGCACGCTTGGTTGTTGGAAGGGCACATAGAACAGGATGCAGCATTGTACCAGTGTACAAGCGTAGTAGTCGTAGTAGCAGTAGTAGCAGTAGTAGCAGTAGTAGTAGTAGTAGTAGTAGTAGCAGTAGCAGTAGCAAGTAGCAAGTAGCAAGTAGCAGTAGCAGTAGCCGTCGTGTTGGTGGAGGTTCCGGTGGCGGTGGTATTCGACTCAAAAGCAGCGCAAAGCCCCCCCCAATCATGGGCAGGCAGGAATGGGAGCCTTCGCAAGAACCGAAGCTCGGCTGCACCACGACGCTAGCAAGAAGATCTTGCGCATCTGCACATAGCTGATACAGGCAAGCCGCACCACAACATTGGTGTACTTGTGCAGATGTCGTTGCCTGCAGATCTTTACAAAGCTCGCAACACTCGGGTGCCCAGATCCTGTCGCAGCCTCGAAGCCGGCCAATTTTGAGGCATGGATCCGAGTTCGGTCTTGACTTGCCGCCAGAACCGCAACCTGGCAATTCAAGGAGTCGTGCCTTCATCCTTCTTTTGCGCACCGGCTGAGGTCCGAGAAGGGCGATCCAGATGGTTCTCAGGGCGGCAGCTTTTCCACATCAATATCGCATCAGGAATTGCGAGAGGAGCCTATCTCAGAGTCGGAGAAGACCGAGACCAGCATAAGCTGCTCTGCGCATCATGCCGTCAAGGGGCATCTCATCCAGCATTTAGCCTCGATCGTGTCTTGCTTCGGTACCTGCTCTCTCCCTTGAATTCTGAGTACCAGACTCATGACACACCATGTGTCAAGCTGCGAGTGCGTCTGACAGCAGAGCAGTGGACAATCCGGCACTTGGCGGAATGCATTGTGCCACTAGCCGACTAGCCATTTCTGAGTTCGACAGCAGTGGTCCTGCTAAGCGAGGTATTGCAACGAAGCTGCTTGGCCATCTGCGCAATGGACAATGCCAGAACTGGCTCCACGGCTGTCTTTCAGAGTCTTGTAAGTCGGTTCCCAAGCGCTAGGCCTCCCTGAACCGAACATTCCTCGACCTGACATGGCTCGTCTTGGAAGCACAGCTACGTGCCAATCCTTGGAAGACCTTCGAAAGAAATTGAGCTAAAGAGTGGCAACTTCTGTCCGGTTGAATGCCTCGTCTTCCCGCAGCGTGGGCTCCAAGAGAATTCGCAAGTGCACAAAGACAATGCACATGCATGACTCCTGAGCCACGCCAGGACCGTGACAGGGAAAGCGGGCCCTCCAGTAGCAGGGCTAGGCAAAGGCGTGGCTTAGCACAGGCAGAAGAGGCCGTGCCTCTCTGCAGCACGTCTGGATGTTGCAGCTGCTGTCCGATTTGGGAACTGCTTCCAAGCAACCTCTGCTGTCAAAGTAGCACATGTCATGCGATCCCCCAGCATGTTGACACATACCTTGGGCTTGAAATTCTCTTTCCAATCGGAAGGACCTATGGCGTGACCAGAGACCGCAGCCCTTCTTAGTTCTGGTGTGGTCCTCAGAGAGAAGTTGGACCATTGGAGCTTGGTCGCCCGTTGGCGAATGCGAACTGCTCCGAATGATGAATGCTTCGACCGAGGCTGCAAATGATAGAGGCACCACAGGGAAAGCGGTTCACCCCGGTGACCAGTAGTCTGCGCTGGCAGAGCTTGATGCGTGGTTGCAAATGCAAGGAAAAGTTACGCCGCATAGCCAGAGAGAACGAGAAACGACGTTTGGCATCCTTGTGGCCGACTGAGGAAAAGGCTTGCCTGTGGATGCCAGGGCGACTACATATCTGCTGCCAGCGACTCCTCCTCTTTGCGTCTTCGGCAGGCTGACTTCCGACAAGATGGGTCAGCGACAGTTGTGCAGGAGTGTAGGCACGTAGACTGTCTAAGCCCGACTCTTTGTGTGGAGAATGAGCTGCGGACTATTTCTCAGAGCAGCATTCTTTTGCGTCTTGAGACAGCGCTTCGGAGTGATGTTTCTGTCCTGTGACCTACATGTGCAAACTCTGTGCAACCCATTGCTCTTGTGGAGTGATCTATATCGTTGGAGGCAAAGGTGAAGGATGTGGACCCACTGGAGGCTATGCAAGTTGGTCGGCATGCATCTCGGCCACTGGTGCATGAGCTTGCAAGCTCCAATAAAAAGCAGCTCAGGTGCTTTACTACAACCCAAAAGCCAGACGCTTTGAAAGCCGGGTGGTAAAGATCGATGAACAGCTCAGCTTCCTCTTCGTACTGCAGGAAGGGACTCTGAAGGAGCCTTTCGCTGCACGGCTCTACGAGGTGGACGAGGCCCCCTTGCAAAGCCCCAAGGGGCCAGGCACAGTACCGAAGCCCACGAAGTTACGAAGAGGATCCGCAAGTAGGAACGCCCCGAAGTGAACGCCCTGCGCGAGGTGGTGACATCAACTCGGGCCATGCAGATTTGCGAGGAGCTGGATCTGAGTGACGAGTACTTGATGGAATCCACTGCTGTCGTCGTAACACATACGCGTACCTGGGATTTGCTTCGGCCCTGCCCAGTCCGACATTAAATTAAGTGCAATGCTTGTCCTGTAGCATGCGCACATGGGGTCAAGACAAGGAAGCGCGAAAGACAGAGAGAATCTCCTGAACCATGACAAGGCACAGAGTCAGTTTCTGTATCTTGGGTAGTGAAGCTTTGTCTTGTCAGCCGAGGTTGGCAAGCTTACGGTTTTAGCCAGCTGTCAGGTGATGGTCTTCGTGGCCCCACCTGCAATGAAGCTCGTTGCTCACATTGCTGCCTGCGTGGAGCTCTCCAAGCTGAAGTTCTCCGCCGGAGCTGATGACGAAGAAGGCTTCCAGAGTGCAGAGGAGCTGGGCCATGGAGCTCCCAAATCTTGAGACATCCCTGATCGAGCACTCGTCTTGGGTTCAGAAGTCATCGCCTTTGATTTGCATTTTGCTACCGGCACCGAAACTTTATCGTCTGAAGTGTTGAATTGCTGGTGCTTATTGTAGTCCGGCATTAGGGGTAGCAGTCACCATCAACCTCGGTCAGAGCTCATGTCGATAAAGGCTTGGATGAATGTATGCCACATGACAATCAGCTCTTAGTTCCTGCTAATAGATGCATTGATACTGGCGTTGGTCAAAACCATTTTCAACCGTCAGTAGTATGCATGTCCGTAGTGACCTTACAGATCAAAATGCCAACGCTGAGAAAAGCGCACTCAGGTCAGTAGGCACGGCCATCAACGGACTGATGGCAATCAACATCGGACGTGACGGACGTGCATTAGCGCCCAAGTTGTAATCTGATGCTTCGGGTGCTCTGCCCGGTCATCAGGTGTCCCTAACCGTATACCGGAACCCTCTAAGTCTCAAACACCTCTGTTAAGCGTCGCTGGGGGCTTGCAGCTCAATGTAAACGGCCAGCTTATTATCAGGTGAAGGTGAGGTGGTTGGGCGGTTGCCTCCCCTCTCCTCCCCCATCCTCCCGCGTCCTTATTCAACAGACAACAGACACAATAATTGAGTCTGAAGTGGATGTTATGTGGGTGCCAGCTACAAGGGTGCCAGAAGACCCTATTTTGGAAAGGGTGTCGGGTGTGGGCGCTACAGCTACCGGGATCTCGGCGTCGACCACGACCACCACCACCGCGACTGCAACCCCTCCACCATGTCACCATTTCCACCATGTCCACCATAACTGCCACGACCACCACCATCACCGCCAATTCCCATCATCTCCACCGTCGATATCACCGCCACAACGAAAAGAATCTCCATTTGCCGAATAGTCTTGCTATGATTGCCTGTTGGCTAAAGTTGTGCTGAAACCCGTTCGCTGGCGCACGAAGCATCTGCAAAGCAATCGCCGTTTCCGACAGGTGTCAGGCTGAAAGATACCGGGCGCTATCTCGATGCAGCTCGCATTGGAAACTGCGCCGCAATTTTCTTTCACTACTCCACCGGCGTTGAGTTAGAGTTCACGCTTCGTCCGGCTGACAGCGTCGAGGAGAGACAGGACTGGGACTGTCTTTCTGTCATGAGTCATTATCGTCAGGGCTAGCGGCCATTTCTGTTCCTGCAGGACTACGAAAGCAAGATGCCCATCACTCACATGATCTCGTTCCCCATAGAGTACGCTGGTGTGAAGATCGAAATCAACAAGCTGCTGGACAGGCTTGGTATTCTTCCGGCTCTTGACTTGACACGTCTCAGCTTGGTGATGTACGAGATGGTGATTCACAGACACTGGATCCACCCTCACATGAAACTATTTCCCGGAGGCATGTACGAGTTCATGCATGACAGGAACGGGCTGCACGCGCACTTCAACGTAAGTGCTGAGGTGCAAAGCCAGATCTTAGAAGTTCCGCAGCCGCCTCGGCGCCAGATGGATGTGCACTACTACTCCAGCAAAGCATTGCAAGCCACCACCTTGGCTTTGAAGCATCTTCTTTCTCTGGAAACTGTCTTTCAGGCAGCAGACAAGAGAAAGGTTTCAGAATCACCGGAGGACGTCACACAGGGAGTGCAGATCTTCTGCAGAAGCAGCAGAAGGCCTGATGATGAGGACTTTTCCCAGATTGATGAAGAGTCATACTCAGATGAGGAGCTTTCCGAAACATGGAAAGACCCCTGCCGGAGAAGTTCGGGTGGAGTCGTGCTGGATGTATCCACAGAGCCACCTGAGTTTGAGGATGATAGCGATGTAGACGACTTTGCCTTCGCTGTCAGAAGAGAGATTTAAAATAGAGCACTGATGGACAAGTTTGCATGGGCTGGCTTCTTTGCCTAACACGCCGGTGGCGTCATGTTTGAGGTTGGCTTCTTTGTATGTACTCTTCCCTGCGGCATGTGCAGTATCGCTCCGCTGCTTGACACAGCAGTGGGACATGCATTCCCTACTGCCCATACAGCCCAGTTGCAGATTCCAGTCGCTAGAGGCCAGGTGTATCCACGGCAAACGGTCTGTTTGATATGGTTTTGGAGGGTTCTATTCTTGAAGCCAAGGTCGGACTGGAACCTGAGCATGTGGACGCTGGGTTCATATTCTTTTCGCAGAGTTTGCGTTGCCCGTATCTCGGCGCTCAAGAGTTTCACTGCAAGGACGTCTTTTGCCAGTCCGCATTGGACAAGTGTGGAGCCTGCCCAAGATCCGCAAAAGCCTACACCACCCACAAGGCAGTCCCTGGCTCTTGCAAACGCGTATGTCAGACGAATTCAGATGACATGGGCTCAGAGAGCAGGTTGAGAGGGAGCTGTCTGAATTATGCCGTCTGCTGGAGCACAAGGCCAGGCGCACAGTGTTCGTGTCAGGCTGTACTGTAGGCCTTACCGCACCGTTTGAGGCAGCCTCTCTGGCTTCCACATATGACCCAGATCCGGATGCCAAGCACTGAGCCCGCCAAACTTGGGCAGTGCAAAGAATTCTGGCACCCGTCTGGCATGTAAGGACACATCAAGCTCCAAGCATACAACTTCCGAGGCAGGTGTATCTTGCGGCATGTCATGAGATCCGTATTCAGCATCTCAAGCAGTTGGTCTCGAATGCTCCCAGGACGGAGATTGGGAAGGAGATCCTGCGAGTTTTCTGGCACCGATTCAGCCAGAGGCACGTGCGTGTTGCATGTCATGCATCGCACCGTGGCGCCGAAAGTGGAGAAATGCCAGGTCAGCACAGAAAGTGTTACGACGATATCTGGGTCTGCTGTCGTTGCCACCAGAGCCGAGAGGGAACGCGAAGCAGATCCCGATGCGAGCAGGCCAGTCCTGATGCTTGTGCTAGTAGCTCCGACACAATTCCAGATTTCTCCTACGCTCCCCTGTCAGGCTGAAGAAGCCAGGGTTCATGGTGTCTTAGCAATAAAGATGGCAGTGGCAGTGAAGTCAAACTTCGTCGATATCACGGTCTGAGTCGGCAATGCAAGGTAAGGTGTTTCTGCAAGACACGGGGCATCTTGAGGTCTATTCTGCAGGAGACCACATTTTATACTTCGCAGCCAAATTAGTGCGCAAGTCGTCGGTGCTGACCTACTTCCTTGTTCCTGCTACAGCTCACTCTGCTTCAATTTCTGTATCGTTCTGGAATCCTCACGTTGACACTGAGGTCTTATGTTTGATATCCCTGGTTGTTGTAACTTGAATGTGGTACCAGTAGGAGAGCGTGATTTCTAGAAGATCCTACTACGGTGTTCTAAGGATCGAATGTTGAAGACCTTTAGCGCCTTTTGCCCTTCACTTGCGAAGCGCGAGGCCAAGTGTTGGCAGAGGGCTTTCTGTGCTTCCAACAAAATTGGAAGAGAGCACGCGGTTGGCTTGTTGAGCCGAAGCTGTTAACCTTGCAGCGCACTCGTACCTCGCTTGGCAAGGTCACGAATGGACAAAGGCCGGCTTACTTCCATTTCTGTGCTTTAGCTTGTTGTCATCCCATAATGTGCATGACGAAGCTAGTCTGCCGCCCTGCTGTACTGCCTGCTGAGCAGTGGGTAGAACAAATAGCCCATGGCACTGGCGATGAGAGGCGAGAGAGGCGACGAGGTCGCAAGCCTGCCGAGGCGCTTGGCCCTGTAGATCTGCACTGCATAAGACTACTCCTCACTTACTCTGTGCTTCTTAGACTCAGTTTGTTCTCCTTCCTTTCGCTGAGGTTCACCGAAGGAGGAGAGAGCTCGGCTCCGAGACCTCTTGGAAGTTAGGTCCCTGATTCCTGATTCCCCGGAAGCTTTCTGAGGCCCCAGAAGGCCGGGCAAGAGGCAGACGGAGCCACTGAGGCATGGCCGCATGTTTCTCTTTTGGGTCCTGGGCTTCGACATGGTTCGATCTCATGGCACGAGACAGCTTTCGGAATGTCGCAGCCCTGGGGCAGGCCGGAGATGTCGCCAGTTTCTCCAGGGTCTCTCGGAGCAGGCATGAGCCTTCGCTGTGGTGTGATGATGTTTCAGATCCAAAAATAGCACGAGTCTCCCATGAACATGGCAACGAGTAATGAACTCAAGGCATCAGTGTCTGTCGCTTTGTGGCTGGAAGGTGTTGGCGACATAGAATAATGCTGCCGGGCGGACTGAGATGTAGCAAGACTGCGTGGAATCGACCGAGCCTTGCCTCAGAAGCCACAGCGGAATCACGGATGAGGTCTATCCACGCCGAAGAATTCGTGAACCTAATTAATCGGCAGGGAACTGAGCTACGCCCCTTTACCTGATAAGGGCAGTAAGGTAGCTTCAATTCCCTTGCACAAGTTTGCGTGCACTTGCCCTGGCCTGGCTAGAGAAGACTCTCCGCCAGGCGGGCCTAGTTGGAAGCAGCCCCTGCTCTCCTACTCGACGCATGTCTGGTTTTCTAGGCCGAAGTCTTTCAGCCCTTAATGGGCCGAAGGAGTCTCAACACTTCTGTGGCGTTGTCATGAGCCTTTCTCCGAGTACTACGCACCACTCAGATCATGAACGAAGGCTACAGTACTAGCTTGACTTGGGGAAGTGTCCTCTGCGGTTTGCGGAGGAAAAGCTCACCTCATCTGAGATGAGACTTAGAGCAACAGGACGAAGATCTGGCAGAGCTACGTGGAAACAAGTATCTCTCAGGCACGCAACGACCAGTGTCGGGCGGAGTACTCCAGCGTCTGACACCCGTGTCTGTGCGAGCGCACAACCGGCGTATGCAAGCACATGCCCTGCGGCCCTAGGCTCATGCATAGCATTCCGTGTATCGTGAAGCGAACAGCTTTGAGGGCTGCTCTGTCGAGGCTACGAAATTCTAATCTCTCTTGCAAAATACTCAGAAAGATACGAAAGCAAATGTGTGCCGGCTTAAACGTCTGGAGAAATGCAGCCGGAGGAGGGGGTCTTGATGTCTCTGCGTCCGCAGCAATTATCAAAACTCAGACAACTGGTTGGCAAGCCTGCCTCCATCAGCTCATCTTCGCCATGGGTCCTCGACAGCTGCAGACTTTCCTGAGTAAGAAGGTGGCACCCGAGATTATTGATGTCGATGCTGAAGTCCGAAGCCGTGGAGAGGTGGGGCTCGTCGTAGACTTTCATGCATTTACATTCTGGCTACTCGGTTACTTCGAAAACGAGACAGCTGCCTCAAACCTCGGTCGCGTCACTGGTTTGGCCCGAAGGTTGGTAGAAGGGCTCGCCAGCCGCGGCGTACGCTTGCACTTTGTTGAGGATGGTGCGCAGGGCTGCAACGGACCGGAGGAGATGGAATCCAAGCTGACGGAGTTGAGATCGCGTTTTGCCCAACGGCAGGCTGACAGAGCAAAGCTAAAGCACTTCTTGGAGGGTACGGACTGCAATCCGGGGCAAATCCATAGTGGGCCCCTCTTTGTTGAGGCGGTTCGTGCTGGGATTCGGGAGGCTGGCGCTTCTTGGCAACTTGCGCAAGGGGAAGCGGATCCTGAATGTGTTCGTGCTATGGAGCAGAGAAATGCACTCGCTGTGCTTGGCAATGACACCGACTTTGTCATCATGCAGGGTGGTGGCCAGCTTGCTCTTATGCACAATTTTCCTGCTAGTCCCCAGCATTCCCCGCAAACTTGTGCTCCTGAAAGCTCCTGCCAAGGCCGACTCGTGACGTTTCAACACTTTGATCCTGATTTTGCCGTTCTCCCCGCCCTGCTGGATTTGCCGAGCAAGGAGCCCTTTGCCTGTCAGAAGCGCCAGGGATAGCTTGGCTTCCTGAGGTGCAGTACGGTAGCCCGCAGCTTGCCTTGTGCGTTGAGAGTCGCAACAACCACAATACTACGATATACTACGATAGCCACTGTCCATCCGCTTCGGAGGACTTGCAAGGCGAGCGCCAGCCCGAGAAGAAGTTTGTCCTGAAGGCTTCGCCTGCCGATGAGAAGCCAACTCCACAATGCGGTGAAGTCTAGTGTTGGCCGTATCAAGAGCATCATGAGCGACACTTGCAACAAAAAGTAGCGGCCAAGGACCAGTAGGCTTAACTCTGGTACTATAGTGGTATCGCTATATATATGTATATATGTATGTATGTATGTATGTATGTATGTATGTATGTATGTATGTGTGTGTATGTGTATGTATGTATGTATGTATGTATGTATGCACAGGGTTTCAAAATCATTGCCCGGCCTGAACCATGTCTGCGATACAACGCTGTAGGGGTGGGGACGTGAAGGGACTGTCATGAGTTCGAGCAATGGCCGTGCCTATGAGTCGCATATTCAATGCCTGCCAGTGTGCTTGCTAAAGCTTCTCACCAAGCTTTCCCTACCTGTACAGAGGAGCAACCTTCTGCATTTTGAAGTTCAGACTGCAGAAGTTGAGCTCCACTCAACCTTGAGGTTTGGAGACGCAGTGCGCTGGCAAACGCCCTCGCCGTTCCCGAGGACCGAGTGATTAGTAATTAAAGGTGTTCGGTGCGTGGGCTCGCGTGCTTTGCGGGAATTGCCCAGCTCTATCTACGAGTCACGACGCTGCGACGATACGCCCGACATGATGCATTCGGATGTTGCCCCTTGTCCACAGACTGAGATCTTCTACCCACGAACATCTCGTTTCGTGCATGCGCCGATGTGTGACAGGCAATCTTGAAGCCAGGTTCCTCACGAGGATCGAGCATGCGGTGTCCTGCTTATGCCTCTTCACCTGGCCCGATCTTCTGTTGCTCGGTTCTTCTCGCTCCTGCCCCCCGCCCTCTCTCTTTCTCTGTCTCCTTCTCTGTCTGTGATGCTCGCTTGCTCGCGCTTGTGTGTGGATGCAGGATGTGCTCCCAATGGTGGCGGCACTTTGCGGCAACGACCATTCGCGGCAGCTCATCGATCGATGCCGACGGCGTGGCTTGCCAGGCACCGTCCGCGGAGCCTAGGACTCTTTAGGGCAGCCTTGCAGGGTTTGTGGGAGTTTCACAGACTTTCCCGTTTTGCCAGTGTGGTACCACATGCATAGCTGACTTGGCGTGTCGCTCACAGAATGAACAGCTGCAATGCTCGTCAGCACTTTGAGAATGAGCGAAACAGATCTTCAGATATCAAGTTGCTCACGGCTTCGAAGGAACCATGCGCACATGGGCCACAGAGAACAGTTGCAGCACTCCTCGTACATCCGAGCTAATTAAGCGACGGTAAAAAGCACATGGCGCATCATTGAGCGATGCGGGTATTTGACGGTAGAAGCGTATGAGCCCATGCATGGGCTCGAAGCGAGGCCCTGCTGGTGAAGAGCTTCCAGACAGCTTCGAGAAGCTGGCCAAGCTTGTGGAGTGCACGAGACCTCCTCAGGACGGGCACGCGACGACGGCTCTTTGCGTTTTGTCGGGTCAGCTCAAACTCAAATGCAAAGGAGGCAGCGCTGGACTTGCTGAAACCAGCCTTGAACAATGAGGCGGAGATTGAGCAGGCACAGAGAGTGCTGGCAGAAGTCCAGAGCTTCTACATGCCGCAGAGAATACCGGCAAGTCCACACCTTGAAGATGACAGCCTCGCACTCGTCGCGAAGCTGCATCAGCTTGGAAGTGAGCATTGCACTTCTTTGCTTGGTTTTGTTTTCGCGAGAGAATTCGATGGGCTCTGGTGCCGAGGTGTGCAGCGAAGTCGAGCAAGGCTTGCTTCCGAAGTGGTGCATGCCTGTGGCGGCCCACGGCCTCTACCTCACTAGCGACTTCCTGTCAGACCCGTCCGTGGGTTCCTGCAAGATGACTCTCCTTTTAAAGCTGAAGAGCTGTGCGTTTGGATTCCTTGCGCCTCCCTCTGCTGGAGTTCCCATTCCTTCCCCTTCTGTCACGATTGGGAGCCTTGGTCCGTGCACACCAGCGAGCCCTCCGGACAAGTGGGGCAATGTGCAGGTCCGCATCCTGGGCAAGTCAGAGCATGCCAGCTTCGACGACGTCCGGAAGCCTTTCGGTTGCTGGGTCGCCAAAAAAAATCAGAGGCTTCTAGTCAATTGTTTTGCTTCCCGATTTTTTCCGAGGCTATCTGGGGAGGCTCCAGGGCCTCAGGGCGCAGCCGCTCCGCTCGCGCTTCGCGCTCTTGCGGCTCTTCGTGGAGGCCAGCTTCCGGCCTTGCGGCTCCACTTCGCTCGACTCTAAGGCGGAGGCCGAGGTGTCCTTGGGCACGCTGCATGCTCTGGCCTTGCGCTTCACGGCCGCCATGGCACAGGAGCTCAAGCTTCAGGAAGCCGAGATTGGAGCCCTCCTCGCGACTTCTTACATTCTAAAAAGCACGGTCGTGCCCGAGCTGGTCGATGCTCCCGACTTCTCGAACCGCAGATGCGCTGACTTTCGCTGTCTGTGCCTCGGCGCTTGGTTTCAGAAGGTGATCTCCGCAGTGCTGGACCTAGCAAAGCTCCTGGCTGTGGCACCGAGCGTGAGGCCCGAGAAGCTCTTTGACGGTCGGCTCTTCCTCCACGTCTTGCAGACCTTCCGAGAGAGGCCTCCGGTGGAAGCCGAGGCCGCCCCTCCGGCTGCGAAGCCTCGCATTCGGCGTGGGAAAATGGGCCCACGGGCTGGCGAGGCTGGCGGAGAAAGTGAGGTGTACCAAGCGCCTTTGAGCCTGGATCGCTTGGATGTGGAGAACCTGGTGAAGCTGCGGGGCAGTGCTGAAATGAAAGCCTGGCGAGATGAAGTACTGCGAGAGCTGGTCGTGCAATTTCTGCCCTCTATACCGCAGGAGGCAAGCTTGGCAAAAGATGCCGTGATCGAGGACAGGTTCACGGGATCGGCCGAGCTGCCCATCACTGCACGCAAGGCAGAGCTCTGCAGAGACCTTCTGGAGAGTCGTGTGACTTGCGTTCATGGCGAAACAGGATCCGGCAAGAGTACGCAGGTCCCGCAGTACATCCTCGAATGCTTCACGAACGCTCAGGTGGTCGTCACACAGCCCCGGCGAATGGCCGCGATCAACCTGGCCAAGCGAGTCGCAGCGGAGCGTGGGGAAGATTTGGGCAGAGCCGTTGGGTATCGGATCGGTGGAGACAGCATGCCTGGCTCACGGCTGAACTTCGTGACCACGTTTTCGACTCAGTTGAGTCGCAACATGTAGAACTGCAGAGCGGTCGGTTAAAGTTCGTGATAGGCTACCCATCTCACCTCGCTTCGAATTATCCCTCTCCGCCCCTCTATCCCTCTCCGCCCCTCTCTCGCTCGCTGTGTTTGTCTCTCCCTCTCTCAAAGCGGTGCGCAGCAGTAGGGAATGGCGACGACGGAAACCTAAGTCTAAATCAAGGCGGCCGAGGGTTTCTTTTTCACTTCTCTTGTGGGCAACTGTCGTTGAGCCACTGACACATGCTTAGCCGCTGGAGGGCTTGATGACTCCTACGCACCGATGTTCCTTCGAAGAAGGCTTGATGATATTCGGAGCTTGCGAGTATTTGGTCTTAGACTCAGACACCCCACTGTGAAACTTCTGCAAGCTGCCTCTGATTTCCCATGCATCTCCCGGCGTTGTGTAGTGGTCCGTGGTTTGTGTCAATGTGGCGGGAATTGTGATCTGAGGGAGTCCAGCAGCAAGTGAGAAGAAGCGAGGGCAGTGCGAGATCGGTCTGTTGTAGACTCCACACCTTATCGATAGTCAGTGCCTGCCTGCACTGCAATGCACTTCATATTGCTTACGCGATGTGAATGTGCTGCTCTGCAGGGGCTGGCTGTTGAGAGCTTTGGTGAGCAGTCCAGAGCGGATTGGCCAGCTCACGCATGTCGTCTTCGACGAGATTCACGAGCGCTCGGCCGACGCAGACTTCTTGAGCATGGTGGTCCGCTTGCTGCTTCACCGCTCCCCGGATGTGCGCCTCGTGATCATGTCCGCAACCCTCCAAGCAGATGTTTTCCGTTCCTACTTCCAAGACTTGCAGCCGGAAGCCTCGGACATACCTCTAGTAGCAGTGGGCGGCCGCTGTTTCGACGTTCAGAAGATCTTTCTCGATGACATCCGAGACTTCTGCGGCAAGGGCAAGAAGCTGAGCAAGCCGGGGCAGGTCGCTTTGTCGAAGTTACTCTTAAAGTTTCACGAGCGCAAGTTCGAGAACAACAGCTCCAAAAACTTGTCCGACGTCTTGCCCCTTGCCACACCGCTCATTCTCGACCTGCTGGCATCTTTGGCCGAACCGGGCTGCACAATCCTGGTCTTCCTGCCCGGCCTTGAGGAGAGCGGCCATTCGCGTGTAGTCTGTTACAGACAACAGATGATAGCATTGCATTGCTACGATGGACTCCCATCGAAGCCTCAAACTATGAAGGTAATCTGTGTGTGTGTGTGAAGATGGAAGCAGAAAACTTTGAGTTGTGTGCATGCTTGCGTGATCTGGCGTGTATGCTTTGTGGTGTGCGCATTTGTGCCCTGAAAGAAGCCCATGTCCTGTCAGGGCGAGTGCATGTGCAACTCCACCCTTTTGCACGCACACACCGACAAGAATCCGGGAAGGATGGGGGCGTGTGTGGCAGTTTCCGCATGCATTGGGCACGTTCTGGTCTGACTGAGCTTTCGTGCACCTACACAGTCGTGGTCGTCATGACTTCGAATTCATGCGTCAGTGTATGTACTATGTTTCTGCTCATGCACGTACATCTGTGTCTTGTCTTACATGTATTCGAATACTGTATTCGTATATATGGTTTGCATATGCTGTTGACCGGCTTTGGTTCCGTTTGCGTCAGCAGATGTCTGCATGCATGAACTTGGATGGACAGATGGACGGATGGACGGCTCGACGGATGGATGGATGTATGGATGGATGGATGGATGTATATGATTATGTACACATGCACCTGTGTATTCATTTGACTGTCTTTTCCGGTCTCCTAATCTTCCAGCACCTGCGTCTTGTGCTCCAGATTACTTTGACTTCGATAGCTTGCTGCCGCTGTCTGATCACTGAACAGCATTTCGCTGCGACACTGTGCGACAGCAGGAGATTAGCAACCTCTACGACGACTGCCAGGCTTACCTGCACGCGAAGGATGGTGCGCTGGAGGCTGAGGACCCGGAGCCTGCGCCAGGATCCGCCGAGCAGGTGCAGAACCTTGAGCTTAAGGCTTTCGCTATGCACTCGCAAATACCTATGGAGGACCAGCTGGGGGTCTTTAAAGGCCCAGGTCCACGGGCGTGCCATCTGGTCTTCGCCTCCAACGTAGCAGAAAGCTCTTTGACACTGCCCAGTGTGTGCGCAGTCTTGGACCTTGGTTTGATAAAGCAGATGGTCTACGACCCACGATTGCGGGTGTCGTACTTGGCACTGCGGTGGACAAGCCAAGCTTCCGCCCATCAGCGAGCAGGTCGTGCAGGCCGAACCCGAGAGGGGATCGTCGTGCGGCTCTACCCGCGAAGCTTCCACGAAGGAATGGTGGCCTTTGACCGGCCGGAGACTTCCTCCTTGCCATTGCCAAGATTGTATTTACAAGCCAAGCAGCTGGCCTGTGATTTGGGGGATCGCGATCTTGCTGGAGGTGCCTCTGCAATTTCTGTTTTGGAAGACCTAGTTGACCCACCAGACCTTGCCATTGTTGAAGTTGCCCGACAAGAGCTCGCAGAAGGCTGTGCGCTGGCCGCATCTGCGGAAGACGCGGACATCACTACTCTGGGGAGAATCTGCTTGCGGCTTCCCTTCGAGCTAGCTCTTTGCCGTCTTATCTGGCTGAGCTGTCATTGGGGATGTGCTGCCGATGGAATTGTGCTGGCATGCAGCATGGCAGTACAGGACCCTTTCTCGCAGCCCAATCCATTGGCCATCACCGATGCCGTGGAGTTGGGTCAGAAACTACGCCGGAGCAATCAGAGCCGACGTCGTTTTGATGGTGGAAGGGCTTCCGAGCCGCTTGCGCTTCGCAGCCTTTTCCGTGAGTTCTACCAGACGCTGCGCACTACAGCTACGGGTGGTCTCCTCGGAGGTCGCCGCGCGTGGATGAAGCATGCGAGCGCAATGGCTTCGAAGCATGCTATCATTCCCAGGCGTTTGGCAGAGTTCTGTGTTCAGGTGGATGATGTGGCTCAGCGCCTCGTGGGCTTGCTGGGCCCTGGTAGTCGAGTGGAACGTCAAGTGCGCCTGCTGCTCAAGGGCTTAGGAAGGAGCCTTGTGGATGCTGACGATGCGGGCAGCTTCCCCTGTGAGGCGCAAGAACCAACAGAGAGAGACGGAGAGTTGAGAGCATGGCACACTTATGCTAGTTCTTGTCCATCATCCTACCTTTCTGACATGTACGGAAGTTGCCAGGATCCGTGGGAACTGGATGAATGGGTCAAAGCAGACCAGAAGAGTACTTGCCGTGCAGATGTCGGTTCCCCCTTCGTCGAGAACGACGACGTCTTGCGCGGTCTGTTGTCCGCCTGTTTCACGAACCAGCTGGTGATTTCTTCGAAGGGCAGTCAGAAGGATCAAGAACTTGCAAACGGCATGGCTCAGATTGCGGACCCTGCCCGAAGTGCCCTTTTCGATGTGGAGCACCTAGAGGACAACGATGCCTTGCGAGAATCGGCGAACTTCCTGAAGTACTTGTCCCGTCTCAGTGGCGGATGCATTTTTGAAGACAAGGGCATGGTTGGGAAGCGTGTTTGCATCCAGTGCATTGACCCCAGCACAAGTAGCCTCAGCGAAACCTCCAACGAGTCAGAAGAGGATGATGAGGAGGACGATAAGGAGATGGCAGAGATGCCGGTCGACATTGCAATGGACCTGCACATATTCAACCAGTTCACGCGCGGCAAGGCTTCGGTATCGTCGCAGATGGACTTGAGTGATATTCAAAGCAGTCACGATTCCCAAACTGAATGTGAAAAGGCTGAGCCAACTCCTATCGTGGTTAAGAAACCCGTACACCCATGCCAGATCAAGTGGCAGGTGCATGCAGCGGGGGAGGAAGATCGCAAAGGACGAGCCGCAATGAAGAGAACCGGTTTGCCAAGCTGCTATCATCCCCTGGGCTTCATGTGCGATGTGTCCAAACGCAGCTGGGTGGCCTGCTGTAGCCATGTTCAATACACCCAAGGCAGCATTTGCTTCCTTTCCGGCATGACCCTCCTCAAGCCTTGGCAGGCCAGGCATTTCCTGCTGATGATCGACCCACAAGCTGCAAACTTGGCGCTTCGTTGCACTGATGATGGATCAGTCACTGCTGTGAAGATGTTTGGTCAACAGCTGCGCATCGAACTCACGAAGGAGGACATGAGCTTTGTGGACATCTTCCGTTCAATGATGAGAGACGCCCTGCTGAGCTCCGAGAAGCTGAAGGAGAGCCCGCTAAAGTCCAAGTTGCATGCCTTCTGCATGGGAGGCGATTCTACCGAGGGTGGTGCTGCGCACGGCCGCTGGTTTCAACCACTTGGCATTTCAAGCAGCTTACCGGGACTGCAGCCACTGCTTCAGAAAATGGATGAAAAGTCGGAGGCCGTGGCGACTGCAGAGATGAACCTGCGTGCCAGGATCGCTTTGATGATTGCTAAAAAGAAGAAAACGACAACTGGAAAACTTGCCAAGGCGGCTGACTGGCGGGAGGAGCAGTTCGGCCCCCTCGAACAGTTTCTGTCGCAGCGCCCGCATCTCTTTACTCTGGATGGAAAGAGCTGGAAGTCTGTGAATTAGTTTTTTTGTCTCGACCCCTCGCGTCTCGTGTCAGATGAAGCAGTTTCAGCGTGCTCTGCATACTTCTGGTGTGCCCGGATGTATGCAATGCGCTGCAAAACTAGCATTCGCCTTGTTACGCTGCCCTTGCCTCCAATACAACGTGATGCTCAACGCTTCACGTGATGAGCTGTTGGAGATTGTACAGCATACGACTGGGGCCAATATGATCCAGAACAAATCGAAGTAGGGCAATCATATACAATGACAACGTTGGATAAGAACCTCCTTTGACCCTGGATTTCTTATTCAACTAACACTTGCCTCAATTATCGTACCTTGGGCTGAATTTTTATTTTCCTACTCAGTACCCTGGCCATATATCTTGGCTGAATATATTAATTAGTTATTGGATGGTCCGGTCAAAATTACGAGACATTAGAAATATACACACATATATATATATAAATATAATATTGATTAAGGCTGGTTGAGATTGCTATTTTCTGATGACGTAGAAAAAAATAGAAAATATCTAAAAATAGAACGATTGAAATTTGCAATTGCTTTTTAAATAGAATTTGAAAATTAATTGAAGATCTCTAAAGAAAATGGTTATATTTATAAAACATATGAAAATATACGTCTATATATTGAAATGAAAAATATTGTATATATATATATTATATTATATTATTTAGGATCGAAAAGATAATATGTTCTTTTGGCTCGAATTGGAAAGAAATTATAAAATAGCAGAATAATATTTTACGATTTTAATATGATATAAATAAGAATATGAAATATAATTGATATTATAATTTCAAAATGGTACTGGTATTAATAATTTAAAAAGAGGTTTTTCTAGCTTTTTTACGATATTGTCGATAATATTATATGTTTTCACTATCTTATTACTCCATAATATTCTCTTTATTCTCTTTAAATTTGTACGATATTTTTTACGACTTATATTTTATCCGATTCTTTACGATATTCTTTACGGTTGTTTCGTATATTCTTAATTCGCGATACTCCTCTCAAGCTTTATCTGTCGTTCTAAGACACTCAGGACTTTGTCCACTCCGCGACATTCCCCATATCTCTGCAAAATACGCACTCCCCTAACTTATTACGATACGCCTCCCATCCGTTACTCTACGACATTCCCCACGAGCATACTTCCTAACCCCCCGCCTTCTTATGAACAACTCTCGCTCGCCGCTCTCTTCTCCTCCTCGACCTTCGCCCGCCACTCCACGACACAACAACCTTCGCCAATCACTCTGTGATACTCCCCTCAAGCTCGCACGACATTCCCCACAACCCCCATACCCTCGCCCCTCTCCGCGACACTCTCTCCGAACCGCTCTCGCCCGCCGCTCCACGGTCACGACACACATGCCCCCATTCGCCAATCCACGAGACTCTCTACGACACTCACACCCTCGCCCGCCTCTCCGCGAAATTCCTCACTGCACAGATCCGGTCCGTACCTGGCGTTTCATACGATTGCGCAACGGGCACGGTAAGTCCTCAAGGTACTTTATCATCATACTAGAATACATGATATACGACCTGCGCGGTATAAATATTACAATATCCGATATTTTGTTGATAAGCGAAATGAAAATTAGAATATAGATCAAAATCGATCGGATATACTTTAGTACGAAAGACGGAAGTTCTTAAATAATGGCATAGTACGAAGCCTCCAAATCCTACGAATTTCTAGACTCGCCCTCAATTTAAAGGCGGACAGTCGTAAGCATACCAAAGATCCAAAAATCCCAAGATTTTCATGGTTTCGTATCGGCAATGGTCGTGCGCAAATCCGAGACCAGAGCAAGCATATAGAAATTTATTAATATTAATCTTCCATATTATATTTCATTCCTTTAGAAATCATAATCATTATAATATGATCCAAGAAATTTTCAATATTTATAATGAATATATCAATACAAAAAATACATATCTCAAAATATCATAAATAACAATAACAGTACTCTATTTGATCATAATCTTATATTTATGAAAAACGATATTAATTACTATTTTTTGTATTTCTTTAAATCTATTACTTTTTTCAATATTTTTAATATCCTTCTCTATTTCTACTCTATACAAGGAAACGTTACAACTGACCTTTTTCCGTATGGCCAACCTCCGGACCAGTATTTCCTCTAAATTTCTTGGAAAATTTAGGGGTTCGGGAGGGCTCTGCGAATGTGTCTCCCAGTGCTGTAAATCTGTCGGAGATTTAGAGTCCTGGGAGTTGTGTTTCGAGGCGTTATCCTTTCATACGACTTGGGGGAGCATCGCGCCTCCGGGCTTGTTGTCTGCTTCGGCCTCTAAATTTTCAGAAATTTATAGAAATCTATTTCTAAATTTCTTGAAAATTTAGAGACCCTAAATTTCTAGAAAATTTAGAGAATAGATATAGAGAGAGTGTTTCCAAGCTCCACTTGATGATCTCGTGTGCGACATTTATAGAGAACCAAACTTCATTTCATATCTTTAAAGGCGAGGATTATAGAGAATCTCGTGAAATCTGGCTCTATAAGGCACGGATGGAACAAGCAACTAATGACGGCAATTTGTTCCTCCGGACATGTGGGTTTACTTATTACAACACGGCGCGACTGAGCAATATCCCAGTGCCGGAGAGAGACGGAAAGAGATAATAGAGGGAGAAATGGAGGAGGGCACGGAGAGAGATACGCAGGGGAGACAGAGGGGGACATGGAGGAGGATATGGAGGAATTCACGATCGGAGATATAGGAGAGATTATGGGGGAAGGACGTGGGGGGGGGGAAACGGAGGGCTACGGCGAGGGGCACGGCGAGGAGACAAGACGGGAAGGACGGATATGGCGGCTTGGATGGAGGAAAAGAAACGAGATTGGGGAGGAAGAGATGAGAGGGACGGGACGGGGCGGGATTGAAGGAAGGCTCCGATGGCTATACCAGGCATCGACGAAACGATTAGAAAGATGTCTCCCGCCAACGTGCTCGTCGGCAGAGAGCATTCGGCGGAGGGGATGGGATGGAGAAGATGAGAGGGAAGGGACGCGGTACGGAAGAGATGGGATAGAGGGGATGGGACGGTACGATGAGGATGGGATGGAGGAGATGGGAAGGAACGGGATGGGAGGGACGGGATGAAGGGGCGAGGCGGAGCGGTTGAGATGGTAGAGGTGGTGCAGAGAAGATAAGATGGAGAGGAGAAGATAGAAGAGATGAGATGGGATGGAGGGCATGAGATGAGGGGCATTGTTAGATGGTTGAGGAGGATAGAGGATGGAGAGGAAGGAAGAAGACGGCAGAGAAAGATAAGAAGATAAAGATAGATAAAAGAGATAGAGAAAAGAGATGAAAAGAGAATGGGGAACTTGGAGAAAAAAGATAGATATTATAAAAGATGAGAGAAATTAAGATAATAAAAAGAGAGAGATAGAATTATTTAGAGGCAAAATAATTGAATATTAATATAAAAAGACATATTCAAATTAAATTTAAATCTAGAAAATCAGAGAGTTGGAAAGCCAAAAGAATAAAGAAGGAAATCCATTATTTTTAGATATGCGGTCTTTTTACCACTCGCTCATCTTTTTTCGTCAGACCATCTTTCGGGAGAAGATTTCGTCTAATTTTCCCATAAGTACGACTTCCTCAAATCGCAGAAAAAAATAATATTTCCATAAATAATTCCAAACGCCGTAAATTTATAATTTCGAATTAATCCTCCCATTCGATTTCAAAATTTGCAAAAAAAAATACAAATCGATTTTAATTCTTAAAAAATTTTAGAGAATAGATATAGAATATTTCCAAATTTCACTTCATATCCTTATAAATGAAATTTGCAGAGAATTTCATATTTTTCTTACGAAATTTATAGAGAATTTCGTCAAGGCCCGTACCTAATTTTTTATATAGATAGAATAAAGAATTAATTATCTAGACGCGTAGTTCGTAATATAAATATATTTCTTTATTTTCGTCTATTTATATCTCTGGATTCCTATTTCTATATGTCTATATCTATATCTTTATATCTCTAATGTCGAATGGCAAATCGAGATTATATCATTTATATAACGACGGAAAAAATATAAATTTATTTTATTAAATATCATTTTCATTATTATAATTATCAGCATCATATATAACAAAATTCATATTAACTCCTTTTATTTTAGGTCGTACAAGCCCGGAAAATTAATCAAATAAGCTGTCAATACCTCACCAAATAAGAAAAATCAAATTTCGATAAATCAGAATCGAAACGACTAATTAAATAAGAATCTTCATAATTTACACAACTAATATTCTAACTAAAATTAATATATATCATAGATCTTCATTTCCAATATAAATTACAACTCATTTTCTTGCTCTCTCATTTTCTTTAAATTTCTTCATTATCTACGACTTTATCTATACAACTTATTTTCTTCCTTTTTCTATATTCCTTATTTACTAGATCTCTCTCTTCCTATTAATATACCTAAATTTTTTCTTTCTATTATTAATATCTCTATTTCTTTTCATATAATCTTTTTCTCTTTCGCTAGATAATGCCCTTTAATCACAATTCGATAGAGAATGTATTTTTATAATAATAAAATCTTTATTTTAATTACCGATATCAAGATTACTATTAATCTACCACACAAAAATAAAAAAAAATAAAATCATCGAAAATTCGATTTTAGAAATTAAAATAAATCCATTCATTACTATAACTCATTATAATAACGAAACATCTAATAAATAGATAAATACTTAACGAAATCCAAACAGACAGATATAGCTAAATAGATATAGACAAATATACAAATAGACATAGAAAGAAAAAGAGAGAGAGAAGTAACAAAAAATCAGAAAAATAAACCAACCAGACAAATAGACAGAATTTTAGATTTTTTTTAAAATCGTATATATAATAATAAATAGAGATGGAAAATTATATATAGATTCATAATAGACGTACATCGACACTTACATTCAAAGAG